TTATTATGATGATTGATTATTGTACATAAGCACAAACAGACGACATTCACAATCACATAGATGAAATGTTTATCTGAAAATCGACGTAGTATTTAGTATAGTATTCTTCTAAAGAAGTCAATGCACTGTAGGTATGTAGTATAATCTATTCAAATGAGACTGTTTACAGCCATTTTTTGCCGTTAATTTCTTTATCTGCTATTTGTGTTCAGTTTTAACTTTTTTTACTAAATTACTTAGAACTAAACTATTCCATGTTAATTCTGTTTAGTGTCTAAATTCAAGATTCATTAACTCACCGGGTTTTGGCACCGTCGTCATCTCGGTAGTATCACAGTCAACCATGTTTATAAGTTCACTTCACACACTGCACAATTTTCGAAAATATAGCTTATGTCGTAGTAGTATCGTATTAGTATCGTCAGTGTATCGTATAGGTACGCGGTCGCCAAGGCAACGCGGAGCAGGAAGTGAGCGTCGCGCGCGCGCCTCGCCTGTGCGCGTACGTCGAGTCGCTCATGGTTTTATATCGCTTAGATAGAGCCGCGTGCGCCACAGCCTTACTGCAGCCCATTCAAAACAATGAGACATGTAACTAGTGCGAAATATTATTCTGTCACTCTGTTTTACCTGTGTGTTGTGACATGTTCAAATTATCAAACCCGGATGGAGCTTACTTAAATGAAAGTAATTAAGTTTGGGATGAGTCCAGGGAAAAATTAATGAAGATATCCAGATTATATTTTTTAATGGGAGACCTTAAACTTTTAGGGTTGCTTTGCATAGACCTATTATACTAGTCGAATAATTTTTCCATAAGGATAGATTAGATAAATGACTTGACTAGTGAAACGTGGACGATAAGGTATTTCTGGCCACCAATATATATATATTTAGTTAATCAATTAAAAAAATATGTAACAGACAGATAGATCACAGACATGCTCCGCCATTGACTTTGACGCACTTGACGCGTGTGACGTCACATCAGTGAGAGTACATATCATGAAGTATTGGAGTGCAATATTATTGATTGAACCATCTCCAGATAACTGCCACCTACGATGACTATCAATTAAATTAAACAATGTATGTGGGTTAAATGCTGATAAAGACTTTATATCAATTAATAAGTTTGCTTTGCTTTTAATCTCTTGCATGGAAACTTTATTAGATTAATATTTTCTTAGCTAGGTAAGTTACGGCATTGTTTGAGACGAGGATATATAGGTCAAGTTATTGATTATAGGCTTCGTCCACGTATTTTTTTTCCCATGGGAGCATTTAATCGAGATAAAATCCTATCACCTAAGTCAGCCCATACCCTGTCGGTATAAAATATTTCATCAAAATCCGTTCAGTTGTTTCAGCGTAATTGACGGAAAAACCTCCAAACATAGATACTTTCACATTTATAAGGTGTGATGTGATTTTATGCTAATTATCAACTTAATAATTTGGCGTTAAAATAAAATATAATAACATCGTACCATTCAATAACGAAGCCTAAATGCTTTGTCAAAAATATAAGAATAATTTCGTCAAGCATCCGCAACGAGTGGACCCCACCCTACAGACCGACAGACCTACAGCTACTGACGTAATTAATAACAACAAACACAACACACTTTCTTTGGACCTCTCTTGTAAGGACGCTGGTTGTTTTACGCGGACATTAAAACTTTTACAGCTTTATGTAATTGTGATTATTGCAGAAGTATGATATAAGAAGGTACAATAAAACCTATTGATATTTTTATCATCATCACCAACTGCTGCATCGCTAAATGCAAAGAAGAAAGTCAAGTTTTGGGTGACACAAAGTCTTGAAATTCTATATTTTGTAACTGATTTGAAATGTACTCCAGAGGTAATAATTCACATACTTCTCTATTTTATTTTTAATCGTATATTTATGTTCATATTTGTATGAATGTAACTAGTTTTAAAATCATGTAAAAGTGAGGAAACACTTGTAAGAAAATCTAGCAACATGAAACTCCGCATAAATCAATTTGCTTCTGTAAACCGTATTTTTGGAAAGTAAACTTTGTTACTAATTAAATGTTCATGTTGTTAATTCGGCCAGTAGGGACGCCGGACGCTGACAAACGGGAGGAAACTTAATTCCCTCCCAGAGAGGGCCGACCCTCTGTGCCCGAGACAATTATGCTAAACACAACTGTGATTAGCACCGCTTTCTTTATACGCTTATTGTTTTCCTTCAAATCTAAACGAGACATACAGTAACAAGAGATAGTGAAACAAAGGTATATCTATATATTTTTTGCGAATCAGATTATCGTTAGTTATATGTTAAATGCAGTATTGAATTTTTTTTTATTTTCCTCACAAATTCATGATATCGAAAGCAGGAAATGCTATCAACTATAATGTTGTTAGTATTATCTTTTATGTAACACGATACAGCGTCATTGTACTTACTTTACCTACATGAGTTGTTATTGTTTTTGACTTAAAAATAGTCTTTCCAGAAGAAGATTACTTAGGAAATTCAGATTTATTGAGGCAGTTCTATTTAAGACTATTAGACGAATGAGGCAGTGAAATTACATGATCCAATTACAAATCTATCCCTTAAATGAACTTTTATCTGAAAAGAACCGGTTAACTGACCGAATTTCGTGCTTTTTATTCAAACAGAAATGTCACTGAAATTATATTTGAAATTCAGGTTTTTCCTGTACTTAATAAGTCATGATTACTTTTACTTATTATAAGTAGTAGTAGCTGTATAATAACAGTCGGTTATTTATGTGAACGACGAACAAGTGTTTGGGTTTTACAATGTTATGTGAACACAGAGTACTTGTGGACTGACTCATGAAATAGATCATGTGGAAATTACTAATTAATGAGATTCTCTTATCATATGAGTTCCATACTTCACATTATAATAACCAATGATTTGTGGTGAACTACTACTGACACATTACATAAGATCACGCCTTTTATTTCCGAAGGGGTAGGCAGAGGTGCACATTATACCACTGTACAATGTAACACCCACTATTCACATGTAATAGGGGGTGAAAACCGGAGACCCCCTGCCCGGCAGTCGCACTTACGACCACTCGGCCAGAGAGCCAGTCTGTCAACTACTACTGAATAATCATACATACTATGTTTTACATTATAACAACACTCCTTTTAGCCCCAAAGGGGTAGGAGAGGTGCACATTACGGCACCTATTGTCACTGTACAATGTAACACCCACTTTTCACTATGTATGTTATAAGTCCCATATTATAGGGGGTGAGCCTTTTGCCAACATTATAATAATGATAGTTTTTATATGTACAACATTATCAGTTGACCCCAATGAGAACAAGTCTTCACGGCTCATAATCTTCGGAAAAACTTAATGACAATTTCCTATCTTGAGACTCACTGTTAGAATGAGTCTAACATCAGATCTAACATAACTAATGAGGGGTATAGAAAATAAAAATTGGAGATGCCATTCAAATAGGTTAGTTTATTGTATCTAGTAGACACAACAGATTATCTCGTTATACTCGTATTATGTTATTCTAAATCTATTCACACAATCGTCATGTAATCAACAAAATCAACGTCACAAAAAATATAAAAGCAAATAAACGAGGACCAGCCAGTTGTAACTCTAGGCACGTCGCAACCACACACACGTAGAGGTCTCGATATATTTGTCACTATTTAACGTGTTTTCCTTAATTAATCTCTCATCTAATTCTTAAGGAAGATATTTATGAAAATATTGGCAAAGGAAAATGGTCTCGAAAATCTTGAGCTGTCCTTTACAGACAGCATATTATATTTGTGTGACATGCATATTAATTTGCATCTTGTCCTTTGAATGTTATTTCTTTAGTACTTACATTTTCTTTCAGAATAGTTTTATGAAGTATCGCGGGTCGGAAGGAAAACTTTATATTTAGGATACTTTTGAGTACTTTTTTAGCCCTTTATGTACAAATACCTGTTTATTACTTGCAATTTTCAGTTCAAACTGAAGTGTGGGAGCTTCGGCACGAATGGGCCGGCTCGATCGGAGTGATACCACGGCCGAGAAAACCGATGTGAAACAACACTTGCGTTGTCTTTCATCGTGTGAGTGAGATTACCGGAGGCCCCTCTCCCCTTATCTTCTCAATACCTGAATCCCCAAAAGGTCGTTAATGCACTTGTAAAGCTTTTGCAGCGCCTTATCACATAAAAAAATCAATAGATCATTGACGTAAGCTATGCGTGGACGCAATGTTTTGATATTCATTTGGTTTTCGTATAAGTACATACACGATTGAGGTTACAGATGACAGGAGTTTACGTGACCAACATCAGCTGCAGTTCTTGAGCAGTTCGGAGAAGTCACATCTTGAGGAAGTCTCATTGAATACGTTTGTGTTCTATTGTAATCGATGCTGTCACAATTATGATTGCGACATATATAATCAATAAGTGCTTATAGTCCGTTAATCATCATGGTACTAAGTTCTGAAAATGAAAACGGTTTCGCATGGTTTCCATAATATTATGATCTATCTTTTTGACGTATTTCATCTAGATTTGTAAAACAGCTGTTGCGTAAAATAATAAGTAACATGTATACCACATATACATTCATCCACACAAAAGGTCTACGTTTCAATAGTATTTTTTGGTTTAAGTATGATGTTAACATTCAATTTTATTAGTAATAGATTTTTTTTGTATTTGTGGGCGTGCCTACGGTCGAATAAATGTTTTTTTCTTTCTTTCTTTCTTTCTAGTTTTAGAAGAATGTCCCATCTCAATCAGATTTAATATGTACAAATGAAATGTACTCTTAAAAGTGTAAGATAAGATTAAATTATGAAAAAACAATTTATTACTCGTGTCAGGTAGTACTTGTGGTTTTCCTCTAAAGTTATTTTGAGAGATGTTTGTAGTTGTTTTGTCCTTACGTCAACTGGACGTGGACGTGATCTTGTAGAGCATCCATGCAATCACCATGATCATGTTAATGACTGGTGATTCCCAGACGCGTCTCATCGTGATCTGATTTTTTTAATTCATATTGCACAATGTACGCATATAATAAGAAGTATTGTACAACTATTTCAGTACATTTTAATATAAAATTGATTTCCGCATATTGGACGCATACAGATTTTTTTTTTATACTTTATATGTCGACGTTTGACCACCATCTCGCCTGATGGTAAGCGATGATGTGGCCGACGATGGAGCGCGCCTACCTATGAGAAACCTGTTCACTCGTGACTTGAAGACACCCAAGTCATATTTGACGGGAAACACAGACTCTGGCAAGGAATTTCATTCCTTAGATTTGTCCTAAAACCATAATTAACCACAATAGCCACAACCTTTAATTCATAATAAACTTTTTGCTAACATGTTTTAGGCCCACAGTCACCTCCAAAGTATGATAGCATTAAGATCCATAGCACTCGTACTACTAAAGGAAAAAAATTGATCCAAAAGA